TATAAGCGGCTTAAGTGTTTATCGCCGATAGTTTATTGTTGCCACTCGGAAAGATGAGCGCGGAAATTAACGTTTCCGCAGTTTTTAATTAATATCTCTGCCGATTAAAGTCGTACGAAGATGAGAACGGTATCGATGGATTCGGAGAATTTTTTCGGAATCCGAGGATACATGTCTCAAATTTCAACTCAGCGCCGTTCCGTAGATATTCGAGAAAAAAGAATTTGGCATGTAGCCAAATCCTTCTAATAGGGAAAAAATCTAAGAAAGAAAGTGGAAAATGTAGGGGCAAATTAGTTTTTAATTAATACCTAGGCTAATTAAAGTCTTCCGAAGATGCGAATGGTCAAAATGGCGTGCCACGGTGTGCTTCACAAAGCCCGGAAGCCAGCCGTTTCGGAGGAGATGATGTTACTGCGTCCTATGTATATATGCGGCTTAAATGTCTGTCTTGACGCCGATAGTTGGTTGGTTGCGTAACTGTACTATCCAATGGATGAAGTTGCCACGGCATACGGTTGCCGTTTCAATTGAGACGTAGACAATTTCCTGTAAAACTTGCCTTTGCTACGACCATTCATAAGTCTCAGGGCCAAACGCTTAAGCGTGTTGGCATTTTTTTACCTAATCCTGCATTTGGACACGGTCAACTTTATGTTGCCTGTTCAAGAGTCCGTAAAAGAACGGACGTAAAATTAAAAATAATGGATGGTCCTCTGCAAGGCGAGTTTAAAAATGATGGAAAGATCTACACAAGACATTCTGTGTACAAAGAGATCTTTGACATGTGAATTAACATTTTATTATTTAAATCACCTTTATATTTTGAGCTAGCGGTGGCTCTTAAGAAATGTACCGCCAGTGGTTTCCTTCATTGCACTCTACTTTAAGCAATAAGGCAAGTAGAAGCTGGAAACACCGTGAGCCAGTAAGCAAAGGGTTGTCCTCGCCGCCTGCCCTGCGTAATTCAGTTTGAATTAGCAGACACCTTTGCACAAATCATTTTAATTACAATTTATAATATCTAGAACAGCGGTCATTTCGAATGGCCTCCGGGCTTTCTAGTAAAGTTATATGTGGAATAGTTACTCGTCAATGCCAATCCGTTGCAAATTTTAACACGTTGACGCGGTGCGGATATTCATTGTTCTCTTCGTGCGACGGCGCTTGAATTAGCGGTCCTTTTCGTGGGGTGAATAGAGCTTTGCAACAAGGCTACGAAAGAGCAAGGAAAGTAACAATATATTGGGATAATTTAAGAGAAAGCCGGCACTTTGTTTGGCCTGCTTTAAAAAACTGAATAGAAAAATTAATAATTATATTTAAATTATATGTTACATTTTAAATTTTTTGTTTTGTATTAAATGTTTGATTATAAAGTTGAAATGTTAATGCATACTGTTCAATAATTAAAATAAAATAAAATTTTGTACTACGCATTTTTTGATATACTAGCGTGCCCCATCGGCGAGTCATGCCGGCCCGCACCGGTGGGTCAGGCCGTCGTCAAGGTGTTAAACCAAGTCATCTTATTACAATAATGCCGCAGTTATATTACATATATATGAAAAAACATTTTACTCTTTTATAAAGATTCCTTTCCGCATTTAAAATCAGTATAAAGCAAATTAATCGCGCGACGTTACAGCACAATTTGGATGCAGTAAATATTACGTGCGACGTTAAATTTATTGCATCAAATTTTGCGAAACAAAGAATCAAAATTTAAATAAGAAAAACAAATTTAAATAGGATCAAAGAATTATATCTCACTCCTTTTATAACTTGAATTAGAGTTCAACTTTCGTAGCTCACTTCTACGAAGAAAGGAGTGTGCATTCAGAGTGCTTCTGCATATATCAGAGCTAACTGAAACAAATATTATTGACAAATGATGTCATTAAATATGTCCCCACCTCGATTCTACATTTTCTAAGCGGACAGATAGGCAATGCCAGTGAGTGATAAGCTGAACCAATTAATATGCGAACCATCGGGAAGCTCAGGCGAGAATAAAAATAATATAGTGCGAATCTCTATAGCTCTCGAGAACATCTCCAAAAAGCAAAAACAAAAAGAAAGTTCCAGGAAATGCTGCAACGCATGGGCTTGGTCTGTGACAGTTATTGTCCTTACGACTAAGGATAGTTTAGAGCGAGCTATGTCTTGCTTTGACTTGCAAATTCGTTTTTTCCTTACGCGCTTCCCTTTCTCTCCATTTATACACATGTCGGTCACAGGCAGTTGCTTAGTGTCAGAGGGTTTGGGTAACTAGGCTTAAGGATGGGCCCTGGCAGCCCTCTGGGTAGCCTATAAATCATTCAGCGAATGAAGTCTTGAGCGTAGTAAAAAGTTAGAAAACATTACATTAAAGGACGCGTCTTTTAAAAAATGAGAATCACGTCTTTTGGTTTTATTATTTGAAAACAAGGAAGAAAAGTTATCGAATCACGCCGTAATAATCACAATTAAAATAAGATTATCTTTTTCCTTTTTTCTTTTTCTTTGGGGAGGAAGGATTCAGCTTTATACTTCGTTACTTTGTAAATATTTTTTTAGAGATTGGACTTTGGAATCTACGAATCCCATGATTCTCGAAAAAGATTCCAAACCCTGAAAGCTTCGCATTCATATTCTTCATTAACAACCGCTGAATGTTTTACATTAAATTTAGCGGCAGCAGATTTAGATGTAGATTTAGAAAAATTCAAATATTTATTCAAATATTTATTAAATTTTGAATTTCAAATATTTCGTGGCGCGCCCGAGTGCCTCGCTTTTATTTTTTCAGAGAATTTAGCTGTCTATGTTTAGTATTTATCTACATTTATTCTCAATCGTTCTGTCTTTTTTACGATTCTTTGATTATAAAAGGCGATATAAAGATTCTGGGTAAACGTAAAAAGTATGAACGTTAATTTAAAAGTTAAACAACCAAAATCAGCGTTATATTTTCAAAAATCAATAAAAATCTCAACAAAAATCAGCGTTTATTTGTTCGGCGTGTTAGGATCTTAAGTATGAATCTTAAGTATGAATGGTACTTAAATTATTTTTGTCAAGTTATATTTGCGCCTCAAGATTCGAGAGCTTTTCATATGTATTTCCTTTAGTAAATTTCCTTTGTATTTTCTTAAAAAAATGTCATTTTTATAGTGTATTGTATTACATAGGCGGATTTTTTTATTCCTATAAGTTCTATAACCAAATGAAGTTAATATCTTCCATTGAATACAGATTTCAGATATTGAATTTTCTAAAAAAATTTAATATTAATTAGAATTTTTTGTTCTTTTCATTTAAATGATTTGAAAAATTCCAGAACCTTTTAGAATTCGAGAAAAGGATTTGCCCATCTTTAGTTTTTCTTTTTATTGGGGGGGGGAAGGGGCAGTTTATGTGTGTATAAATATTTTTGTACCTCTAAACAAACACTCCGACAATTAATAATTGTAGCGGAATACAGTTGTCTGTTGTTATCTACAGATGAACTACAATTTAACCCTATTTAGAAAGCTACGGGATCTACCTTGTAAAGATACGTAAACCAGGAATCTTGTCTAACATATATTCCTATAACGTAAATCGGGCTCTTACGAAAGCTACAGATAAAGTGCATCAATGTCAGTAAAGGCAATAGTTTCCAGTATTTAAAATCACTTTTTCCTTATAGATAACATTTTTTGTAAATTAAAGAAGTAACTTTATAGGATCTTGGCTTTTTGACATAACACAAAGTGTCTATATCTCAAAGTTTAAACTGGCGACTTCTCGTAGAGGTGTGAAGAGTAAAACAAGGGCGAAGGGTGTAGAATCCCTTTTTACTTCATTTTACGAAGTAAAAAGGAAGTATTGTAATCGCGGAAAATTTCGGGCTTCATATTTCAACGAAAATATCCATTTTCACCGCTATCGAATGCAATTTAACGATGTTTTCGCGTGACATCTGTACGTAAGGACAGAATAAAGGACTCTTTTCCCCCAAAATAATTTTAAACTAATTTAAAATGAATTTTGAAGAGAATTTTTCGTGTCGTCTGTGCGTACGTACGTATCTCGCATAACTCAAAAACGAGTAGCCTCAGAACGTTGAAATTATGTATATAGAACCACTATAACATATAGATGTGCATCTCGTATTTTGGTTGCAATCGGCCGCACCAAAAGTATATAAATGTAAACTCGGCGTCTAGAGTATTTCTACGCTGACGACACACATTTAGGTGACTAAGTATTTATTTAGTTATTGATGGAGATACAGTGATGAGTATTTACAAATGAAAAAAGAATTATAATTGAGAAGTTAACAGCTTCGTCCATCTATTAATACGTCTAGTCGAAAAAAAAATGACTGTTCTCTTTCGCTTCCCTCGTCCATCTCTCGTCTCACTGCAATGCAGTTAGTTGTGTTGAGTTGTCGCGCTCCTGCTACTCACACTCGGGTATCCTGACACGACAGGGCCTCCTGGCGATGATGGAGTTGCAACAAAATCGGAAAAGAGTAATTAAAAAAAAATTTGTTTGGATATACCATCTTGGAACGTCCTGAGGAAAAAAAAAGAAACATCATTTGCTTGGAGTGTCAATAGATCAGTCTGGAACGTCTTGAAGGTTCCTCTACCCCTTATAGAGCAAATTCTTGATAATTTACAGAATTCTAAGGTCTTTACATCTCTTGACTTGAAATATGGCTTTTTTCATGTTCCCATGAATCCCCAAAGCAGCAAATACACTGCATTTGTTACTCATGAAGGCCAGTATGAATTCCTTAACGTTCCCTTTGGACTGTGCAACTCTCCTAGCGTTTTTCAAAGATTTATCAATACCATATTCAGACCTCTCATTAGTGATCAGACTATTATAATTTATATGGATGATATAATTATTCCATCTAAGGACGAAGACGACGGAATTAAAAAATTACGACAAGTCCTTCAACTTGCCTCAGAGTATGGTCTAGAAATAAACTTTCTAAAGAAAACAATTTGAATTTCTAGATTATGTTATTCAAGATCGCACCATTCGACCTTCACCATCCAAAACACGCGCTGGACAGTCATTTCCTGAACCCAAAAACAGCTAAACAGGTGCGAAGTTTTCTTGGCCTCACTGGTTACTTTCGAAAATTCATTCAACATTATGCCAAAATTGCAAAACCCCTCAGTGACTTACTACGTGAGTCCACTCCTTTTGAGTTTGGTCCTGCGCAACAGCACGCTTTCTTAAAACTGAAAGAAGCACTTTCCAGTGATCCTGTTCTGCACCTTTATCAACAAGGTTTACCGCTTCAACTTCATTGTGACGCAAGTAAATACGGTTACGGATCTGTTCTCTTGCAACAAATCACTGATGTAAAAGTTTGCAATGAGTTGAACTAATAGTTCCTTCCACCCAATTTACTCTATGAGCAAGAAAACTACCCCCCCCCAAGAAGAGAAATACTCCAGTTATGAACTAGAAATCTAAGCCATCATTGAAGCCCTTAAAACAACCTAAATGTTTTTCATGCGATTAATTTGGCCATAAATCGTCTACTTGTCCTCAGAAACCAAGTCGTGTATCCCCTCCATAGTCACAAAAATCAGAGTTCAGATTTTGTTGTAACTCCATCATCGCCAGGAGGCCCTGTCGTGCAACACAACGAACAGCATTGCAGTGAGACGAGGGATGGACAATGGAAGCGAAAGAGAACAGTCATGTTTTCGACTAAGACGTATTAATAGATGGCGAAGCGGTTAACTTCTCAATTATAACTCTTTTTTTCATTTGTAAATACTCATCACTGTATCTCCATCAATAACTAAATAAATACTTAGTCACCTAAATGTGTGTCGTTAGCGTAGAAATTCCCTAGACGCCGAGTTTACATGGGAGCTTCGACCGGTTCTTCTTCAGTCAAGGTAAGCTGTTCTTTAAGAATTAAATAACAAATATTTTGAATTCAGTTTTGATGAAGTGAAATTAAAGACTCTTTGAATTCAATTTTGATGAACTGAAACTATATTTTTACCATTAGAACTTATTGTGTGAAAAACAAGAACTTTTCCTTTCATAGCAATAAAATAATCGAATAAGGATTCGTTTGGCTTTAAACGTCTTTTAAACATCAGTTTATGTAAATCTGCACTGTTAAGTTTAGAGGAAAATTCTTCTAACAAATATTCTTTTAAGGTAGTAAAAGTTTTGACACCATGTAAAGAATTTACAAAAGTTTTAGCAGAGCCTGATAAGTATTTTTTGGTGAATATAATCTTGTGAACATCATTGGTAATTCTATTCAGTTCAAATAATTCTTCTATGTCTTTGAAAAAAGATTCAATCAAATTATTAGAAGAACCATTAAAAGGTTTAATACATTCGTATAAATCACGAAACGTTATGCTGAATTGTTCATTTTACCAGCGATGACATGACAGGCGTATGATGTGTTCGATGTTTATGTAAACAAATACCGGAGCTGAATGTCTGCGCGTTTTGGCTAGCTGCCAAGTTCGAAAAAGTAATTGACTGCGTAGTGGTTTCAAAATCTGTTTGATTTTCGGCAATTAATTTTTGTTCCGCGTTTTCTAATTCGTTGTCAGAATCAGAATCGGAAATAGCAGTTTCCAATACCAAATCGAAATTAGTTAAAGCATTCACAATTGTAGTATAACATTCATCAGCAGAAATGGCACAGTCTAAATTTAGAACATTAAAATTCGAAATTAGATCATCCAGATTGAAAATATTTAATAAACGTTCCTTAACTTCGGCAGTGTGAAAAGAGTTATCTAGTCCTATGAATTCACGAAGTCGTTTGCGATTTGCACGGTCGCCTTCTTGACCAAACACAAATTTATGTAGTAGCTTAATTGCTTGCGTGGAAGCTGATTTTAAGGATTTAGCAATATATAGTATATCATTTAGAGTTGACATTGTCACAACTTAACTATTTCGGAGAACACAAGTGAGAAACAAGTTTATACAATAAAATGAACAATGAGTTTTCGATTTCGAAAGGAAAAGTTTTGGTTTTTCACACAATTCGTTTCTAATGGTAAAAATATAGCTTCAGTTCATCAAAATTGAATTCAAAGAATCTTTAATTTCACTTCATCAAAATTGAATTCAAAATATTTGTTATTTGATTCATAAAGAACAGCTTACCTTGACTAAAGAAGAACCGGTCGAAGCTCCCATGTAAACTCGGCGTCTAGGGGATTTCTACGCTGACGACACACATTTAGGTGACTAAGTATTTATTTAGTTATTGATGGAGATACAGTGATGAGTATTTACAAATGAAAAAAAGAGTTATAATTGAGAAGTTAACAGCTTCGCCATCTATTAATACGTCTTAGTCGAAAACATGACTATTCTCTTTCGCTTCCATCGTCCACCTCTCGTCTCAATGCAATGCAGTTAGTTGTGTTGAGTTGTCGAGCTCCTGCTACTCACATAAATATACAAATATATATATATATATATCCACTCTGTTACTCGGCTCAGTGATCTCAGTTTCTTTATTCTTATATGTTTGTAAATTGTGTATTTTTTACTTTAAAAAAGATTGAATTATGTTATTTTCTTCCGTTTGAGGTTTTTATGTCTTTAGTAAATCTGTATGCGATATTTTTAGAATTATCAGCAATTTAAAAGTTGTTTGAATGCCGCTAAGTCTAATAAATTTTTGCCAAGGCGGCCATTGTTTGTTTACGTTTGAAACAGCAGAATAGTTGATTTGTTGCCAATCTAGAGAAAGTAACCTTCGCGATAACAAAGATAGCGCCTTCTTTTATTATTGCGAATGAAATCATGCTTAATCCATTCAGGAATTTGGGAATAAGTATTTAAGATTTACTCTATAATTTTCAATACAGACATTTTGAGTTTTTATGTATTTTTGCTTTGTCGCGAAGTGAGAACTGAATTAATTGAATGAGAAATACTGAATCGTCTGTAAAAAACTGTCTTTTTTTTTTTTTTTTTTTTTTTTTTTTTTTTTTTTTTTTGTTGTTGTTGTTTGCTTAATTTCTTTTATACATCGTTTTAGATTTTTTATAGTATTTGAATAGAACATATGGCACGGTTAGATAATTCTTAAGATGATATAAATTTTGTGCATTTTGAGTTAAAAAAAGTATGAAATGTAACGCTGTTAAATGAACCTAGGGCCAGAGTGCGGCTATGGTAAACAAATATAGTGAATTTTAAAAAGTGCATTTATTTATGCGCTATCGACGAAGTAGTTTTAATTCAATCCAGTATGTTTAATAGAAATGCAAGAAAAAATGCGTGTAATTTAATATTCCTTATAAGGAAGTCATGTGGTGCACACATGAGATTTTTAATTATCGCAATTTTTTAACAGAAAGGCACGGACTTGATGCTCACCAAAAACACCGACTACTTGCAGTGAAGACATTAACGTAAATTTAACAATAAATTCGAAAATGAAGAAGTAGTGTTAGACTTCACAATTTAATTTAACTTAACAGGCTGACTCGGGAACCTACACCGGCGATAGACTACTTAAACGGCCAGAATGCGTATGCTAAAATTAACAGCTGGAGGACAAAATAACAAACGTGAGCTACACTAGCGAAACCACGCTCTGTCAGACCTTCTTGTTTCATCTATTTAAATACCCTCTTTCACCTATTTAGTTTGCATCCCGGCTAGAAAATGCGAGGGAAAATATGTATTTCAGAAAAGATACCAAAATTAAAATAACTGGATAGTGAACTAACGGAACCCTACAACTTCATTTAATCAAAACCTTAGAATCCTTATTCGTTACACTAGGTGGTTTTTCCATTACTCATTTCTTTATGAAGTGTAATCAGTCAGCTTTTACGCCAACTCTGGAGTGGGCAAACATGTTTAACCATGTTCAAAAAGAGTCTTTCAGTGTTTCACGAAAGCAGGGCCGTCGCTAGGTGCGATAGTGCTAGTATGAGAAGTATCCCTTTTGTTTGTCAGGACAGGATGACGAGAGGAAAGACTTTTGCCGGAAGAAATTATTTTTGGAAGATTACAATATAAAATAACCTATACAACTAAATTCTATTTTCATCTTAATTCAAACTCAGTCAAACTCAGTTAGCTGTGTGCTAACGAATCGTGTGTTCAGTTTATTGCATTAAGATGAATGCATAAGACTTTCTTGCACGGGAAGGCAAGTGCCGATGAAGCTATCTCCGCGACGAATATATCTTCTTGAACACATGAGAAGTGTGCAAATATGGTTATTTTGAAGACACTTTTCAAGACAGTAGTAGTTTGTTCAATCAAAGCTCATTAAATATATTTCCTATCCTGATATCAGCATATGCAATAAACATAAGACTGTTAGGTATCATTCTATTGAAAGTATTGTATCAGCATTTCGCGGTGCAATACTTGTAAATCAGCAGCGACGCTACAAGGAGTCCTGCAAAAGGTTTGGAAGTAATGAATTTAATAATAGGCACAGATCGGTCAAGGACCATATACGATTATTATTTGGCCTGTTTCAAAGTAATAATTTTGAATGTCTTGAATATCAAAACGCGACGAAGAAACACGAAATAATTCAGTGATTGACAAAATGCTGTGAGTAGACATTTTTGAGGTAGAATTGTTAATATGTTTTTGAATTGAGGGGAAAAACACTGAGTATCTTAGAATTACAGTAAATTGAGACACTAAGCCCAGCTAGAGAGTCGATGGAAAATGAAAAATGGTTCGGGAATGGAACCTGAGGAAGACTGGCAGCTTTCAGCATCTTATCAACTACTCCATGCATGGGTCTTCCACGTACTGAAATCCATGCATTGTGTGCAAAATATCTTTTTAGAGATTTAAGGTATAAAAGCATAAATCTTTTCCCTCTTTCCCATTTTAAAAAACAAATATAATCTGTCTACAGATGATTGAAACTTTTACGTTTTTCTGAATCATGTCAGATATCAATCAAACATGCATTCCATTTATTCATTCGCAATACCTTTTTTCATAAACAACATAAGTTTACTTGGAATTCAAATTCTACTCGTTCAACAACGATTCTTTAATATCTAAACATAGGAAAAAAATCAGTACTTTGCAATGATTGTTTGCTGCTTGTAATACCTTTTCAATAACTTTATCTCGGAAATCATTATTCTTCGAGGTTCTACATTAGTAGATGTTTTTGACAAGCATGAGACAGTTGTAGATGTGGCAATAGATCTGAATTTTATCCATGAAGATTCGATTAGTTTCTTTCACTGTGAAAGTAATATACTATTTTCCCCTTAAGCCATTCAGGTGTTTTGAATTTGTATTGCCGAATACAGCTCCAGATAACTTTCAACCTTAATGCTACGCCCATTAGTTTTAAAATAAAACGAGCTTTCTGTTTTATCTAGAGTCGTTA